GATCGAGGCTGAAGGCAGGTATGCCGAGGAGGCGCGTGAAGCTCGGATTAGTAACCTGTCAGAGTCCTCTCTGAAGCAGCTTCAGCCGGAGCTGTTGGGACGACTCCCAACTCTGGACCTGCCAAAGTTCTCCGGGGTCCTTTCCGAATGGCTGACCTTCGTTGGTCTTTTCGACAGCCTAGTGGACGCCCGGAGTGACTTGACCCCGAGCCAAAAGATGGCGTACCTCCTGGCCTCACTGGAGGGGGAGGCCCTGGGCGTCGTCGGCCACTTGAAATTGTCGGACGACGCCTACCAGACTGCTCGGGACCTCCTAGCCAGAAGATACGCCAACGTCCGGCGAATTGCAGACGAGCATGTTAAGCAGCTTCTAAGCCTCCCGCTGCTTAGTGACCGGGCCAGACTGCGTCCGGACCTGTTGGATCCAGTCTTGGTGGCCTGTAATACGTTGAGGCGGCTGGGTTTACCAGTGGGCGAATGGGCTTTTTTGTTGCTCCGCATCGTGCTGTCCCGTCTACCTCTCGACCTTCGAATCCATTTTGAGGAGAGGTACGGCGGGGACGAGGCCTCCTATATTCCGCCCTTCTATGACCTGCTGCGGTTTTTGGATGAGCAGTGCCGGCAGATAGAGAGCGCGGCGGGCACCGTTGACGACTTACGAGCTGTGCCCAGTGAGAGGCTGAATCCTCCAGGCAAGTCGTCGTCAATCCCCCCCTGCTCCTATTGTCGAGCATCTGATCATCGGGTAACGTCGTGCCCGAAATTATTAGGTAAGCCGGTTCCAGCGAGGCGAACTATCGCCAAGGAGCGCCGCTGGTGCTGGTCATGTCTGGGAGGGCACCTCCAGCAAGACTGTCCGCATCGACGGCCCTGTCTGCATTGCCAGGGCAATCATCATGCCGTTTTGTGCCTGAGTGCGAACGGCGTCTCCTCTCGGGGCTCTGCCAGGCCCTCGACCCCCACGGGCGGGGGCGCTCAGCCACGCCCTCTGCCGGGCGACTCTCGGCGCCCGCCGGCCGGCCATCAGGCCCCTAAGTTTGAAAGGGGCCCCTCCCCCGACCAGTTGGGGGGTAATTCCCCCAGGGGCGGGGGTGTCATCACCCCCCCTCAGCGTGTGGAGAGGAACTTCACGGCCACTCATCGGTCCGCTGGACCCTTCTCACTTCCGTTAGCTGAGTGGCCGCGACTGGTGTACCACTGTTCCCCATTTGATGGAGGCGGCCCTGTCTAGCTGCCGCCTTAGCTCCCACCACGGCCGCCTTCACTGAGCCTTAAGCCGTCAACAGTCCACTTGTCAAAATGTTCTGTTGCCGACGGCCTCAGTGAAAGCGTACAACCCGAGTTGCAACTGTTAAAGGTTGTGCTCTATTTATCTCGGGTTCACGCCATGTGGCCTCCCCTTGGTGGTGGGAAGATTAGGGCCCCCCTGGAGCGTTGAATCACGCTGTCAAGGGGTATTAGATTTGGTTTGGTCGAGCACTTAGTTAAAAAATACTTTGAATTAAAATTAAAAAATGCTTTGAGCTTTCCGCGAAATTTTCCTATTTGTAGCGGTTTAAATTAAAAGAATTGAATTTAATCTACTCCTTTAAATGCTACTGCATGTGTTTTGTACATATATTTAATCACTGTATTTGATTGTTGCGTTTGTTTGCTGAAAGGAAAATTTGAATTCATCTGAAATGGAATGGCGCACTATTTGAAAAATTATGTTTATGTTTATGATAGTGTTTAATCATTTTTGTTTTCTAAGAAGTAGGGCTGTCCCTTACGTTATTGTTTTGTTTAATTTGCAAGTTGACCTATGCGCATCGGTGATTAATTTGGTTGAATTAATTCTGTAGTTGAACATTGATGCTTTTGAAAAATTAGTTGAAATATGAGCATAGGACTACTTGTCTAACAGGCTAGCTAGTTTTGGAGATTATCAGATTGAAATCAGCTGCCGCACTATTTTAGTAAATGATAATATTATGGTGGGTGGCCTGGCTAGGCCTACTTGTTGAAAATTCATACTAGGGACTATCTGTGCGTTTCGTTTGGCTCTCCACAGACGACGTTCATGTGGAATTTGTGGGTGCGCTCTGCACTGAAGCAACTGTTGGCACAAAATTTGTCTGGGCAGCTTCGTGTAGCGTCGCTGTTGGCAGAGCTGATCCGGTCGGATTGCGGAACTAATCATAGGGGCACAGATAGGTGTTTGAAAGAGGTCGTCGGACTTCTGTCCAGTACAGGACTTGATAAAGTGCTGCGATGCCCAGGAGGGGCATCCAGTGGAGGCTGACCCTCCGGCTTGCCACATTAGGGATATCTTTGAGGCGTTGATTAGGGTTGCAAGACCTAATGGATTGCCTAAGGTGGCCTAGTTTGGTTGTAGATTCGGTCTTGCAACTTGCAGTCTCGACCTTGTCCCGCTGACCGGTTTGCTCGCGGACCTAAATCCTTATGTCCGGGACGGGGGTTTGTTCGCGCAAAACTCTGTTGTCGGAATCGACACCAGATGTCACTCGGCTCGGCGCAATTCCGGTTTGAAGTTCTTCCGAGCGTGGCAGTGGCGCGCGGGTCGCAAGCGAGTCAGTCATCTGCCAGATGTGCTAATGTTTGCACGCTGTTAATTTTGTGCGGGAACCGCGGAATAGTTAGGGCGTCTAGTAAATATCCTGTCTAGGAATTATAACGCGCATTCCCTGTTTGGATAGCCTTTCCCGGGACTTATTGGGTCCGACTCAGAATCTGTATAAGTGCATTCGACAATATAAGCTAGTGCGGCCTCTTTATTTAGAACTTATCTATTGCCACGCGAAACGGTAGTGACCTTTGACCCAGAAACTCCGGGCGTGTTTTGTGCGGTAACCTTATACCCCGCGATAGTTAGTGGCTTCTGTAAGCTAGTTAATAGTACGATAGAGTTAAGTGACTGGCATTGTGGTGAATCAAGAAAGTGACTGTGGATAACCTCGAAAGGCCCCCTCAAGTTGGAGCGGTGTCGACGCTCGGGCTGTTGCCGACGGCTAAGGTCTAGGTTCAATCACCATCAGTCACACCCAGATACACACCACATCACCATTCTTTCCCTTGCACTACACAACCACATGCGACCTGACCGACTCCGGAGGAACCAGTCGCCTTGGATAGAGGTAAGTGAACTCCGCCAAATTCCTTCCGGTCGACTGGCCGTAGTATAACGCTCCCCCATATATTTAGTGTAATTAGAGAACTTCCACGTGGCCTTAGGAGGCCCGACCTACGTTTGCTCGGGAAGTCTTCTGCTGATGGGCCCCGGGGGATTGGATCCTTTAAGGGAGCAACCGTAGGCCGTAACACAGGGCAAATTACAAATTCATGGCTGGACGGACTCAATGGTTGTCTTGGGCTGGATTCATGGCAATACTGCAAGATGGAAAACATACGTGGCGAACAGAGTGAATGAAATAATTAAGGTCATACCGTCATCCTGCTGGAGGCATACTAAATCAGAGCATAATGCAGCTGACTGTGCCACGCGAGGACTTTCACCATCTCAACTATTATCGTATTCTCTATGGTGGAATGGACCCTCGTGGCTCAAGGAGAACAAAGAGTATCCTCCAGAAAAATATGAAGCTCCGGAATTCGAACTGAAGACCAAACCTCGGATATGTGCTGCAAAGACTAATCATTCACCGTTTATCAGTGAGCTTCTATATAAATACAGCTCAGTTACAAAGGCGACCCGCGTGCTATGTCGAGTGTTACGTTTCATAACTAACGCTCGCGAGCGCGTGCGAAACAATAACAATTTCTATCCAAGTTATATCACTGTGAATGAAATTAAATATGCTACTAAATTAATAATTAAACCAATTCAGTTAGATAACTTTGCGCAAGAGATAGAACAACTAAAGAGAAACGGCAACGTTTCACGGAAAAGCGCAATTATAAGTTTAAACCCATTTCTTGACAAAGATGGCATTCTGAGAATGAAGGGAAGATTGCAACATTCTGCATTACCTGCAACCAGCAAGCAGCCGATTGTACTTCCCTATCATTCACGGTTGACAGACCTGCTTATACTGGACGCTCATCACACTACTTTACATGGTGGAGTTAAACTGACTTTGGCACACATAAGAAACAAATACTGGATTATTAGTGGACAGCGAGCAGTGAAGAAAATTATACGCCGGTGCACCACATGTGTTCGACTCAATACACAAAAGCGAACACAGATCATGGGTGATTTGCCTACCCCTCGAGTGGTACCATCTCGCCCCTTTACACATACGGGGGTGGACTTTACGGGTCATGTTGAGGTGAAATCAAATAAGGGTAGAGGCATTAAGACCACAAAAGGTTATATAGCTGTCTTTATATGCCTAACTATAAAAGCCGTTCACCTGGAGCTCGTGTCGGACCTCACTGCGTCAGCGTTTTTAGCTGCATTTAAACGTATGTGCGCTCGGCGCGGCACGCCATTACACGTTTACAGTGACAACGGTACAAACTTTGTGGGTGCGTCACGTGTACTTCAAAGGGAATATAAGCAAGCACTCCAAACAATCAACACAGACTTCCTCGAGAATATTAGCCAGCTGGGAGTTACTTGACATTTTAACGTGGCTGCGTGGAGCAGTGCGGGCGGCATATGGGAAGCCGCTGTTAAAAGTCTAAAGCACCATCTGAAGCGCGTAGTTGGCCATCAGAAGCTTACCTTCGAAGAATATTCAACGCTGCTTACGCAAATAGAGGCTTGTCTCAATTCAAGGCCTCTATGTTCCTTAACTGAAAATCCAGAAGACATAGATTACCTTTCACCCGGCCACTTTCTTATCGGTGGTCCTATTCTGTCTGAACCATTATCGGATATAAATAGTGAAAACGTAAAATCAAGGTGGCAACTAACTGAGCAGATATACAAAGAATTTTGGAAGCGGTGGTCTGCAGAATATTTGCATACGTTACAAACACGAAGCAAGTGGCATATACCTCAGAAGAATATAGAACTGGACAGCATAGTGGTGATGAAGGAAGATAATCTACCCCCTTCTAACTGGGCCTTAGCAAAGGTCATCGATGTGCACCCCGGCAAGGACGGGTATGTGCGCGCTGTTACATTGAAAACTAAACACGGAGTCCTGAAACGGCCTATCACGAAGCTGTGTCCTTTACCAGTACTCCCAGACCAAGATGACAATTGGTTGAGAGCGGACAGTGACCCCGGCACTACTGGGCATACGTCAAAACGCAGTAGAAGTAAGGCAAATTATTTAATTTGTTTGCTCTTAATTATCACCGCAATTATATCGCCGTCGATGCAGCAAACTTACAAAATAACTCAGTTAGAATCGACTAAAGCGTTATATTTTGATCGAGCAGCCGATTTACAAATTATAGAGAGACATTGGATCGTAATTGTATACTACAACATGTCAACATTCTGGAAAAACATTCAAAAGGTGGAAAGATATTTAAACCATTTAAACAGCATCTGTAATGAAGAAAGTACATGCACTGCCACACTGGCTCAGTTCAGACACGAGTTGGACGAGATAGAACATTACAATAATATGTTAAAATTTGCACCACGTTCCAGAGCAATAAGAGGTTTGTTTAATGGTGTTGGAAGATTGAGCAACTACTTATTTGGAATTTTGGATGACCAATTCGCTGAAAAATACTCTAAAGACATAAAATTAATACATCAAAACGAAGTCTATCTGCAAAAATTACTTAAAAATCAAACTACAATAATGGAAGCGGAAAATAATATAATACAGCGAAATGAATACATAATGAACCAGCAATTCACAAGAATCGAAGAACAAATAAGGAATTTTTCGAGTGAAGTTCAACAAGTAAAACAGCGAGCCATAAACATATTTTATTTTACTACGCATGTTGTTACTCTTGACGTCATTTTATCAAATTTAAGAAGAATACAGGACACCCTAATTAATACTGTAACGAACATATATCACGGTAGACTCGACGTACACTTGCTTTCTCCGGCACAATTGCAAGAACAGTTAAACGTCATATCAAGACAAGTTCAAGGAGAATTTTTAGTCCCGGTCAACGTTCAAAATATTAAGGAGTTATTCAAAATGCTACAAGTAAAGGCAAGAATAACCGAGGATTATGTCATAATTGAAGTGAAGGTGCCACTACTGAGTACTGACACTTATGAACTTAATAGAGTCATACCTATACCGCAAACAAGAAATTTGAACTCTATCTACGTAACACCTTCTACCGACTACATAGCATTCAATTTACGAAAAGATACCTTTATGTCGGTGATGGAAAATGATTTACAGCTCTGCATTAGATACAACGACGTCAACCTAATATGCCCCATTACTAGTCCACTATACGAACTTAAAGTGGGTCAATCTATATGTGACGTAAAAATAATCACGGACGACAGCAATCAAACATATTGTCGTAGAGAAACAAAGGAGTGCCCCGACAGATGGATTAAATTACACTCTCGTGACACCTGGCTGTACACATGCTGTGAAGAATGCAAGATCCGCATATTATGCCCGTCTGGGCTGGCGACGAGGAGTCTGCGCGGCAGCGGCCTTATCAGTATAGGTCAAGATTGCATTCTTAAAGGAGACACGTTTTCTATACAAGGTCATCGTGACTACAGGAGTGAAATATATACAGGAAATTTTAACATTGAGCGTATGGCTAACGAGTCCATATTGAACTCTGTCATCAATACATCGACTAATCAGCTGTCATTCATCGCTGAAAATCACAATAATACATTTTGGAAAATCAAAGGGCAAATACAAGACTTGCTGAATCAATCTGATGAAGAGATATCAAATGAAGACATACACCACTATGTTATGATATACATACTGTTCTTCATAGTAGTCGCAGCAATAGTAACGGCAGTTATCTACATGTATAGAAGAAAATTATATCATATCCCCACGGCGAGGCCAGCCGCGGCCCCCGCGGCCCCCGCGGCCCCCGCGGCCCCCGCGCCTGACAGCCCGCCGCCGCGGCCGACCGAGCGCCGTGTACTCAGCGGTCCGCGTACACAGGATAAGACTACATCTACAATGTTTGACAAGATTATCAAGTTCGAATGTAAAATAGACGAATGATATTTTTCTTATTTTTATATAATTTACAGATTTTATTCTCTTTCTTTTGTTTTCGGTTTCGCAATATGTACGAGTAAACCCGTACATTTTTATATGTTAGCGTAATTGGAGCGCGGGCTCGTGTTTGACGTCATTTTAATGCATTGTACAGATTATGTTTTCTTTTATAATAAACTCAGTACCATTCGCAAGGCGTTACAGTTAACAGTGTTTTATTTTGCATCCTACAATCTCAATATTTGAGTGGTACTCCTTAACAGCATTTAATCTTGCATTGCACTGCATTACATATTTGCATAGTTACACAAACAATTACTTACTATTATTATTATTATTTCCTAAAAGATAAACATGTTCAGTAATTTCACTGCAAATCTCGACTTTTGCAAGTGTGTGTTTTTAAAACACAAAGTGCTCGAATATGTCGTCACACACTTGATAAATGTGGTTGACACCATAGCACTTTTAAAACTAAAAATGGATCTGGATCTTGTCTTCAAGGCTTAGTTATTAAGGAGTTGGAGGGGTACCTAGGTAAACCCAGAGCCGTCATCTCGGAAGACATTTTAGACTGTTGGAGGACGCATGAGACAAAATATCCGATTTTATCGAAGATGGCCCGTGATTTTCTTTTAATACCTGCAACTTCAGTACCTGCTGAGAGATTATTTTCTAAAGCATCATTAGTAATTAGAAAACATAGAAATAGGTTAAGTGATGAGTCAGCCAGATGGTTACTTTGTATTAATGCTTTGTCAAAAGAATAAATATAAAGTAACAGTAATGTCAAAGCTGTTGTGTACATACTGTAAAGTAATTTAATTTGCATCGTATTTTATTTTTTATTTAAATAAATGGTATATTGTATAACTCTTTTATTCCATTTCATATATGGGGAGGGTCCATCAATCTCTTTCTAGAGAGATAATGTTATTTAAAATATAGTGTAGTTATTGCCATTAATTTTTTTTATATGTATGTTTAACCATGTTTTAGCACATGTAAGCTTATTAAATGTAAACGTTTATTAAGAAACTGACGCCCGTGGCCGTGGGACACGGTAGATAGCTCAGTTGGTTAGAGCATCGGCACGGATCGCTTAGGTCGTGGGTTCAAACCCCACCCGGTGTCAGTTGATTTTTCGAATTTCTCATTAAATGTTTAGACATTTATTAATATGGCTGGTCTTTACTATGGCTATGTTAATTCAAGCTCAATATGTACCTACTCTGTTAAGTTGTTCTAAGATCTAAAGTAACGTTTAATAAATAGTAATAGGCTAATAGGTCATTGCGAGACTTGTGAGACTCTTGCTGCAAGACCAAGACCAAGACCAAGACTGGGAGCGCAATACCAAGACCAAGACCAGGTGTATTGGCGCAAGACCAAGACCAAGACTTGCTAAGTCTCGTCTTGTTCTTGCATTTGGGCAACACTAATGTGCGTGCGTGTGTTAGTGAGCATGCGTATACATGTGCGTTAGTGTGCATGCGCACGCGAGTGCGTGTGCGTGTGCGTGTGCGTGCGCACCTCGAAGCCGAGCTTGTAGGCCTGCAGCAGCAGCTCGCGCACTCGCGCCGCCATGCTGTCGGCGAGCTCGCGCGCCCTCTCCCCCCGCCCCTCCGCACGCGACTCGTCCGGCAGCCGACTGCGCTCCAAGATGTGCTCCGTGTGCCGCACCACGCACTTGCACAGGCACATCAAATTTTCCTAGTAAAATATAATACAAAATCAAATCTATAATCATAATGTGGTGTACGTATGACAAAGCAATATAACTGGAATATGAAATGATATCATCACTCAACGTGGACTCCATATAAGGAGTAGAAATAATATCTATTTAGTTCAGTAATATCATATTATATTAATAGTAGATACCATTCATGTCTCTCTGGTGTACCTGGAAGCACGTAACACAAACCCTATCCGCTACCTATGTACCTACGTCACAATTAATATATATATCTCCTCCAAATCAATAAAGAGAGTTACAAAGCTGAACGCACATTTATCCGCACCGTACGCATCGTACGCGCCGCACGCAAATCTTTTGTATTACCAACAACTTTTGTAGTTTTTTCCAACCACTGGTGTGAAACGGTACATTGAAATTGATCGCTCGAAATCACTATGGAAAGAAATATAGTAATAGCCTGCTTATTGGCAGAAGAAGAAGAAAAATTCGGAGAAAAAGAAGATTCTGGATTCATAATATTAATTACAAAAGGCAATTCTATGGAGAATATCCCCTTTATATACTTTATTTAAACACTTATTAAATGGTGATAAACGATTTTTTAGATATTTGCATTTAACATACAAGAAACTTCAAGAATTGCTACATGTACTAAAACCATATCTTTCTATGGAAAACTCAAGATTTAGAAGGCCAATTGAACCAGAAAATATACTTGTTGTATGTTTGAGGTAAGTATTTTTATTGCTAATTAAGTAATCAGGTATAATTGTGTTTTTGAATTAAATTTAACCATTTTTTTTAGTTCAGTATTTAAATAATTTATCACTAAGTATTCATATTAATCATCGATGTAAAAATAAATTCTGATTATGTATAATTAATTACGAATTAATTAGAAGTTATAAAAATAAAAAATTTATCACGTAAATCGAAACCACCAGTTATAGTGGAAAATCCACTGAGTTGGCAACATTAGACAACACTGAGTATCAGCACGCGCTGAACGCGCCGCGTTATATGACGTCATCAGCATTCGTCCTTCGATATCGTATACCTACCGCATTTTATAAAACTTGGCGCGTACGGTGCTGCTGTAATGTGCGAGGTTTCATATGATTTCTCTATCTACTCACACAGAGCTGCGTGCGTACTCACACAGAGCAGCGTGCGTACTAACACAGAGCAGCGTACGTACTCACACAGAGCAGCGTGCGTACTCACACAGAGCGGCGTGCATAATCACACAGAGCAGCGTGCGTATTCACACAGAGCAGCGTTCGTACTCACACAGAGCAGCGTTCGTACTCACACAGAGCAGCGTGCGTACTCACACAGAGCAGCGTGCGTACTCACACAGAGCAGCGTTCGTACTCACACAGAGCAGCGTTTGTACTCACACTGAGCAGCATGCGTACTCACGCAGAGCAGCGTGCGTACTCACACAGAACAGCGTTCGTACTCACACAGAGCAGCGTGCGTACTCACACAGAACAGCGTGCGTACTCACACATAGCAGCGTGCGTACTCACACAGAGCAGCGTGCGTACTCACATAGAGCAGCGTGCGTAATCACACAGAGCAGTGTGCGTACTCACACAGAGCAGCGTGCGTACTCACACAGAGCAGTGTGCGTACTCACACAGAGCAGCGTGCGTACTCACACAGAGCAGTGTGCGTACTCACACAGAGTAGCGTGCGTACTCACACAGAGCAGTGTGCGTACTCACACAGAGCAGCGTGCGTACTCACACAGAGCAGTGTGCGTACTCACACAGAGCAGCGTGCGTACTCACACAGAGCAGCGTGCGTACTCACACAGAGCAGCGTGCGTACTCACACAGAGCAGCGTGCGTACTCACACAGAGCAGCGTGCGTACTCACACAGAGCAGCGTGCGTACTCACACAGAGCAGCGTGCGTACTCACACAGAGCAGCGTGCGTTCTCACACAGAGCAGCGTGCGTACTCACACAGAGCAGCGTGCGTATTCACACAGAGCAGCGTGCGTACTCTCACAGAGCAGCGTGCGTACTCACACAGAGCAGCGTGCGTACTCACACAGAGCAGCGTGCGTACTCACACAGAGCAGCGTGCGTACTCACACAGAGCAGCGTGCGTACTCACACAGAGCAGCGTGCGTACTCACACAGAGCAGCGTGCGTACTCACACAGAGCAGCGTGCGTACTCACACAGAGCAGCGTGCGTACACACACAGAGCAGCGTGCGTATTCACACAGAGCAGCGTGCGTACTCACACAGAGCAGCGTGCGTACTCACACAGAGCAGCGTGCGTACTCACACAGAGCAGCGTGCGTACTCACACAGAGCAGCGTGCGTACACACACAGAGCAGCGTGCGTATTCACACAGAGCAGCGTGCGTACTCACACAGAGCAGCGTGCGCAGTCTAGCGCGGCGCGGGTGCAGGCGCGCGGCGAGCGCACGCGCGGCCTGCGCCGCCTGCAGCGCCGCCTCGCGCTCGTTCGCGTACACTTGCTGCGCGCCGCGGCACAACGCGTACACCACGTACCTGCGAAAATCAACTACAATCTACTTATCTACCAAAAGCTATTTCGAACAAGAAATGGACGTAGACGGTAAAGAAAGCAAACGTATGCATTAAGTGTCTCACACACAGAAGCAGCTTGCGGTGGCAGCCAGTTGTATCCGCTTGCAATGTAAATGAGTCTGCAAACCCGTGCGGTGAGAGCGTGGTCCTTCCCCGGTCGAGCCTACCCATTCGTGCTACAACTATACTTTTATATAGCTGCAGCATGGATAAAATTATTTATTCTTGTGTCTACTGATCGCACAGCGGTGACCAGGAGACAACTAGGATGTTTGAACACCTCAGTGAAGCCTCTGATGTGGCGCTAAATCGGTACCCTAATGCACAGTTGGTTTTTCTGGTGGACTTTAATGCCTGTCGTCAGGACTGGCTCTTCCCATACCAGAAGACCGACCACGCTGGGAGAGAAGCATGTAATTTTGCCTTGTCGCTGGGGCTCTCCCAGCTGGTACAACAAGCGACTAGGGTACCAGATGTGGATCGGCACACAGGCAACTGCATCGACCTTCTGCTGACGACCGATCCAGACAGGTACAATGTTCAGGTTACCTCGCCCTTGGGAAAACCCGTCGAGCTGCGCATATGCTATAATCGATGTGATATGTCAAGCGATGGAGTATTTCATCCCCTTTGCTGACGTGCCCATTGGTAGTAAAGCTCGCCCATGGTTCAACAATGCGTGCGCTCGTGCTGAAAAGCGCAACTGTTTACGCCCGAATGCTGACTTCGGGATTGATGTCAGAGGGCGCGCGGCTCGGCGATACCGGTTTGACGTTCGGTCGTGCGTAGAACGTGCGAGGGCAAATAGGAGTCGTTTGTCAGCTGTGCTTGGGACAGCACGCTGTCATTTTTTGTTCGGGGATGCGGAATTGTGCACACGCGCGTCGAGTAGATATACGGTCTAGGGTTCGAACCGCGCATTCCTTGTTCGAGAGCTTCTCCCGGTTGATCATCAGGAAATCATTATAATCGTGTCGTCGCGTTAAGTGCCCTATTTTGTGTGTGTTGGCTTGTTAGTTTACGCGTCAACGAGGCGTATTTTGAATCTTTTCGCGACGTGGTTTTTGGTGTCGAATGAAGGAACTTAGTTGTGTTTAACTGAGTAGTATGACTCATTAATAGATCGCTTTATATCCCTCTTTATAATTTGTGATAAGTGAATTCGGGACATTGAATGTTGAACTTTGAACTACTGTCCGTTACTGTGTCGGGTATCACGTGTTCGATTCTACGATGAATGTGGAATTAGGCGAGTTTTAGTTAGTCAAATGTACAATGAAGGTAATAGGACTGTCCTCGTGACGAACGAAGAAAGTGACTGTGGACGACTCCGCGGAAGATTACCACAATTTGGAGCGTTGCTGAAGTCCGAGCTGCTGCCGACGGCAACGGTCTCATAAGGTCTACCACACTCAGTCACACACAGATACACATCACTGACCCTTACTTCCCATGCACCATACAACCTCATGCGACCTGACCGAACCCTGAGGGACCAGTCGCCTTGGATGTAGGTAGGTAAGCTCGAGTTTAATATTCTCCCTGTTGAATGGCAGCAGGATAGAACGCTCCCCCTTATTGTTTATCGTTATTAGAGACTTTCCACGCGGCCCCTTGCTGAGGCCCGACCTGCATCTGCTTGTAGGTTCTTCCTTCATGGCCGGGAAGATCCTACTATTAGATAGGCAGCTGTAGGCCGTAACAGCTACCGTATGGCGTACTTATCCTGGGTCGATGCTCGAGACCGCAAAGCTCCGGATGTTAGCCTTAAGAAGAGAGCCTTTAACCAAGCTAAGCTCTCTGTCAAATCATTTGGCAGTAGAGCTTAGTGGTCTCCGCCAAAGCGGTTCAGACAAACTTCTGTCACACTGCCTCCGCTGGTAAAACGAGATGGCTCACTGGCGCATGCGCCTAAGGAGAAAGCGGACTTTTTTGCTTCTTTTTGCTTGTAATTCACGTCTAGACAATAGCAACAGCGTACCATCTCATTTACCTCACTGCGGTACCTCTATGTCAGAGGTCCGTATCACCAACAAGGAGGTTCTTAAAACCTTGCGAAGTCTAGACGTGAACAAAGTGTATCTGGTCGTATGCCAGCTATAGTTGTAAAGGTCTGTGCACCTGAGTTGTCTCCTGTGTTGACACGCTTGTTCCGCCTCTCATTCAGGACTGGAATAGTGCCCGAATCTTAGAAGCTGGCCAATGTGCAGCCTGTACCTAAAAAAGTAGCCACACGACCGCTGCCAACTACCAGCCAATTTCAATTACCTCCATACTCTGCAAGATTATGGGACGTATATTAAACGCCCACCTCATGGCATACCTAAAGCAAAATGATCTCCTCAGTGATCGCCAGTACGGGTACGGGTTTGACAAGGTTTGACACGCTAGTCTATTGGGCAAGCTTTCAGCGTACGGCTTATTTGAGCCCTGGCCTGATTGTCTGGGTGAAGGACTTTCTGAGTGAACGATCTCTCCGGGTTGTCGTCGATGGCTACTCATCCGATACTGTGGCAACTAACGCCGGTGTTCCTCAGGGGTCCGTTCTCTCCGCAACTCTCTTCCTGCTGCATATAAATGATCTGCTCATTCCCGGTATCTATGGCTATGCAGACGAAAACACAGTTGTGTGGGGATACCAACCAAGTGCCCAGCCAGTGATCAAATCCAATCAGAAAGAGAGGCTATGGTAGAGCGTGTAAATCTCACTCTACGGGCAGTCTCCGAATGGGGCGATGCCAATCTCGTGAGATTGAACGCCTCCAAAACACAAGCGTGTCTTTTCACCGCTAAAAGGAACCCGCTCACCTTGTCTCCTACTTTCCGGAATTCCGCCTTCAGATGTTAAAGGTTGAATTTTCTCCGAACCTTGTGTACTTCAAATCATTATGATAATGTTATTTTATTTTAAGTAAATTATAAATAAAAAACTTGTTGCCGCGTGTAACGTCCATAGAGAGCGAAAAAATTTCATTTCTTATTCACTGACTGACGGATGGGCGTTGTTCTACGGAATGGTTGACTGACCATTTTATTTGTCAATAATATAGTCAGTAGTAGTTACTTAAAAAAAAAATCACGCTTAATAAACGAATTGCACCCTTATAAACCTCGCTACGTATGTACATTACAGCTGACTGACCAGCTGTGTCCCCATAGGACGTTGACTGACTATCATAATTTTGATTTACATATAAAAAAACAAAAGTTCATAAAGTTTCAGCCTTAAGAAATTGATTTTAATATCTCGGTGGTCACGACATGCTTGACCGCGCACCTGAGACACCTGTTCTAATATCCGCTTGACTGACCGTAGCATTTTATTGTAAATTATGATTATAATCACCTGAGAAAAAACCAGGCTTAATAAATTCAGAGACTTTTTTGGCTCTGCCTCTTGGACTATAGGTCTGCATGACCACTTACCACCAGGTGGGATTGTGGTCAAGCACTGGCTTAGAATAAGTAAAAAAATATATACTACCTATTTTATTTGTGTAATTTACATTCATAATAGACATAACTTTTATATTTATTTTTATAAGAAAAAAAAAACAATGTATTTGTTTATTTTTTTTTGTCGGTGGGAAGTGTAGTGTTGCCCTCTCGACAGTATGCATTAGTGTTAAGGTAGAATAAATTCAAGCAGTATAATTAAAGTTCTAGTACCAACAGCACGTCTCTATTCATATAACACCTTTCCTATGTTACAGTCGATTTGTGTTTTTGTAGTCTGAGTTTACGGAACACCTTTAAATGACAGATGATATAAGAAAAAAATATTTTAGTTCTACTGAGTAATGACATCGATTATGATATAGAACATGTCTGCTGTGTTCGGAACGAAAACGTGAATTGCACACAAAAAAAAAGTAAATAGACGCATTTGAAGTTGACCGAAATAAATCACTTATAAACTAAAATGTACGTTTGCACCTCGGAATATAAAAAACAAGAGGATGCGCAAAGTGGCCGGGCCAATCGTGTCACAATTAGAGACAGTGGTGCGTAATTGACTGTCAGTCGCAGGCTCAGATTGTCACGAGTTAACGAGTCGCCATCTAAGTAATATATGCGAAAATATGGCGTTTTGTGCAATATTGGAGTTTACAAACGAAAGTAAAAAGAAAAATATTTCGAATGGAGATGTTTCGTACCAAAGGCACGTGAAATTTTTCCTTTTTACATAGAAACGTGACTAAACATGTACAAAATATCAGATTGCACATATTACAAGTAATATTCAACCTTATAGTCCAAGAGCTGGCGACGAAATTTGGTAAGATCCTTTTGGCAAGTTGAAATTGTGAAGAAAAATAATTTCGTCAATTGGCGAATCCAGTCCCGCGAGTATGACAGAACGTTTGTGGTTATTACGTTACTGCGCAGCATATAACATTTGCAAAAAAAATCCAAAAATATGTTTTTTTGGCAACTTGATTTCTTTTTTATCTTTTAATTTTAGTTTTTATATAATTCAAACAAACCCAGACTTTTTTGTCGGTTATAAAGTATTACCAGACCTCTCCAAAAATATTTTATTCAAATTGCTAAAAAATGTAATTTTGGCAATCTCAAATTTTAATCACGTATTTATTGAGTAATTTTAATTATACCTGCAAATCGCCAGACAAATTTAGCGGTTTTAAACTATTCCCACACGTGAATAAAGTTTACAAATGAACAAAAAAGTCTTATGCCCATAAGTACGAGAAAGATAGCTGATCGAGTATGCCGGCAGCTAATGGGGGCCCAAGCTCTTCACACTGTCATTCCTTATTGAAAAACCACGTGTTTCCAGTATAGTTCCGGCTCTGCGTTCACAACAGAGTATTTAATTTTGTGGGAGAGCAATCTTAGCATCGTTAAAAATTATCTAGTGTGTTTACCTCTTTTTTAAATATTTTAAAATTAAACTCTTGTTTTGGAATTTAGCATGTATGTATGCGCATATATGATAT